TAGCAATGCTTTGTAGCATTTTTTGAGTATTTTTATTTTTTGTATTAGCAACAAAAGGAATAAAATCAGTATGAATTAGCTTGAAAGATTTGTTGCTAGTGGTAATAAATTTGGTGTGGTATTAATTGCAAAGACAGAAAGTAGTGGCAGTAGTTGGAGGAGCTTTGATAAAGTGAGTAACCTTGTTATCACTTCGAAGAATTTTTATAACACAGGCTAATAGTGTACTTTTTATAGGAATTGGATGTGGAGTGGTTGAACTTTTTTCATTAAAAGCAATACCAAAGTCACTAGGGTATTTGGTGTAGAAGAAGTCTAAATTGATAGTATCTGGTTCAGTTGAGGTTAAAGTAGGTATTTTGTGAATATAGGTTTATTATAAGAGAAGGATATTCTAAAAGTACTGAGTAAAGATTATGTTTTACAAAAGAAACGGATAGAAACAGATCAAAAATGATCAAGTAATTTAAGATTTTTAGGAAAACCAATAAATTTTCCAAATAGCCAATGAAATTTCCAGATCTTGTGAGCAGAATCTTGTGATCTGAATTCTTTTAGGGTTGAAATAAAAGTGAAAAATCTGAGGCAAGCTAGTAAATTTTCCGAAATTGCTACAGATAAATTCTAAGTGATCTACAAGGAATTAAAATGCCTTTAAACTGGTTTTTGGTAATAGCTTAGTGAGTTTTGCTTTGTTTTGATAAAATTTATATCAAAATGAAGCCCTGACTTAGAAGAATCTAACTCTTTTAATGAACAAGAGTTGTTATATTAGTAATATTTTGAAATATTTAAGACAATAGAAGTAAACTAGAAATAAAAAATATCTCTATAAAATTTGGTTCAAGAGATATGAAACTACACCACTAGAGGTAAAATTTGGTGTCTAACAATTTTACTTAGAGGTCCAGAGGTTGTTTACTTAGTATAATTTTAAAATATTTTGAAGAAACTAGAGAAATAAAGTTTATTTAATATCTCTACAAAAAAAGGTCTGGAAGAGATAAAACTAGGCTGTCCTAGAGTAAAATCTTGTTGTGAACAACTTTACTTAGTAGCCCAAGGTTAGTTTACTTAATAGAATTTTGAGTAATAATAAAATGTTTGCAGGAAGTTTTGGTACAAGTAATCTACGGAAAGAGTTGCTTATAATTAATTATTATTATTTTTTTTTTTTTTGTATTTACAATTATTCTAATATCTTTTATAACTTTAACTTTTTTTTATCTAGTTTGTTTGTTATAATTTTATTTTTTTTATTAACTAACTTTATCTTTATATTGATTAAATCTAATATATTAATTATTTTTTATACTTTTACTTTTATTTCTACTTCATTTATTTTGATTTTTTCTTCAACTTGTCTTTTTTTTTTCTAATTTTAAAAAGGATTTTGTAATTTAACGCCTATGTATTATAATGCCAACTAATCAGATCGCAGGATCAGGTGTAATGTGAAAAACAAAACAAAAGCGATTTTTCAAAGAAATCACTTGTAACTCGATTTTTCGTTTATTAAACCTCCTTTCGCATTCTAATAAAAAAAATTCCTTGCAAAATTTTGGGTTAGAGACATTTCGCTATTGTTCTTTCCTAACCCCAATGTAGCCCTAACCCTAACTCTAAACTAACGTGCAAAAGGTTTATTTTGATTTTCATGTTACATGATCAGGAACTATTAGAGGTAGCGATAAATCGCATAGGCAAAAAATAATAAAATTCTTTTAAAAATATACTAACTTTCTAATTTTTTCTGTTATTACAACTTTTTTGATTATTACTTACTACTATCTTGTTATTTTAACAACTTCTAATTCTAAACCTATTAACTTAGTTATTATTTTATCTAAATATTCTTTCAAATCTAATATTGAGTTACTGCTATTTATTGCTATTTCTTTTCTATATTTTTTGATTATTTTTCTTATCAAACTTTTAGTCTTCTTTCTATTCTATATTTTTTTTTATTAACTATTTTGTATTCTAACCTTGCAAAAAATTCAAAATTCCTTATTATTCAATTTTGACCTCATCATTACTACCTATAACTAGTTCAAAATTACTATTAATAGTTGGTTTAAAGTTACTATTAGTAGTTAAAACAACTTTTCTTTTTCTATTAACAGTCCTTATAATATTAATCATAGTATTTTCCTTTATATTGAAGGTACTAGGTATAAAACACTTATCTCAAAACCAGTTAAGATACCTTTGAATTTTGGTATTACAAATGTAATTATAGCTTCTAGAACTAGTTTTTATAATATTAAAGTGAAAAAGTTTTTTTTTTAAAAAAAAGTATAGTGCAAAGCAAGTTCCTTGCATCACACGAAAGAAAAAAAAAAGAGTGATCGTTTTTTTATATAATTATCTTTTTTCTACTATATATAGGAGGATTAGTAGCCATGATTATAAATTGCCAAATAATATCAATGCTAGGAGGCAAAACACTCAACCGGACAAACGATGGCAAATGATCATCTGACACATGCGCGAAGCGGCACGTGTCAGCCCGGCAAAGCCAAATTTCCGTTATTCTACATATTAGATATTTTACAAATCAATAACCTGGCGTTTTATAATTTAGCGGATTTGATACATTCCGTGTAACGATGGATGTACGTGTAACCCTATTCTGTGTAACATAAATGATCCAATTAAATACCTTTATACGTATGCTTCAAATTATCGAATGATATAAAAATCATTTGATTCTGATTACTAAGGGCGTTCTCAAGCAGCTCCCTCAATCCGATTATTTGCATGCGAATTTTAAATGTCAGCCAATCAGAATAACTCTGATAAAAAAAGATGGTTGCCAGGTCCAGGTTTTTATTTTATTTTAGCCAATCAGATCATTCAATTAATCATAGAAAGAGGTACTTGAGAACAACCTAAATCATGAGATATGACTATTTAAAGTTTGAAATTTAAAACTGCCCACTGCTTCTTTTTCTCCCATATTAATACTAATAGTCTATAACATAATATAATGATTCCCTATACGGATCGAAGAAAAAATTCTAAATTTCGAGTCTGAATTTGGCATTAAACAATACAAATCGACAATCTATACGTAGCAAAAGTATCATGAGGGGTAACTAAAATTTTTGGGCAAAATATATTAATTGACTGGTAATTTTGATTGACATCCCTAACAATCTATTACTGTTCATATACAAATATAATATTATGATCCTTTACGCAGTACAAAAAATGCCAAGAACAAATATTCATTTAAAAAAAAAAAAACATGAAGTCTTTTATCCTTAGCAAACAGAAATTTTTTGGGAAAATTATTCTGAACAGAAAAGTTGTATCACAAACATTAAATATCCCAAAGATCATTGAGAAATTAGGAAACGAAGGTAATTTAATTGGCTGAGGCTAAATTTGTCTTACAGTTTATCAATTCCTAAATAACAAAATTCATTTGAAAAAAAACATACAAATACGTATAAAATAGGCGAAGCGTTTGTGCACATGTGCATTTGTTTGGATTATTCGTGGTACGAACAATTGTTAATCTGTTAGGACTTATTTAAAGATCTCCGAATCTGAATCTTAAAGACGGACGGATAAAATTTTTTAATGTTTTTTTTTTATTTTATTCGATGTCTAGAATAACTTTAATGAAAATTGTAATTCTATTTACAATATTATCGTTATGTGCGATACCATGTTATTCGTTAGACTATCCTCTATACGCTGCCGATGAAATACCAGTTATAACTCCTCACTTAACGAATTATTTATTGCCAGTTTCACCGAACATTAGTACAAACTTTAGTTATTTTATATCACCACAAGAACCAAGTGGCCTTCATATATTCAATGCAGAAAGTTATCCAAATGGACCGATAATCTTACGATTAATTCGTAATAGTACAAATAACTGTTCTGAACCTTATTTGCATCTAAGACTTATATATACGGATATAAATCAGGATACATCTCAATCACCTAATGCTACTTCTAGTAATATTAGCTTTAGTACAACTGATATAAATATTCCTGATTTTAATCTTTGTCCGATTTCGAACAGTCCTCCACGTGATCTGATTCGTATTTTTCCCTTGTCATATAATCATACTATGATTGCATTTTTACGAAATAACACCGGAAATGGTACAGAAACACATCAAGAATTTGGGATATTTATTGATTGGGAAGGAAAAGTTATTCAGTAAGTAAATAAAATGAATACAATCATTATCTCTGTGTACGATCTTGAATAAATGCGCATTAATACTAACTATTTATTATAAACGATATACGTAATAGAAACGATTTAAATCTTGGAGCGATTAATTTTACTACAGTTGATTCATTGGGTACATTAGTTGTCGATTCTTCCCAAAGATATGGATTTATATGGGTCAACCGTGTTGGATCTCAAAATGAATTTATAAGATGGACAAAATATTCTATTTCGTAAGTATTAATGACGTGAATCAATAATACAGTAATATACTTGAAATATTATGTAATAAAAAGCATATATATTACAGAAACCATCGTGAAGTGAGCACCTCATATAATCAAAGTCAATTTTCTATAAATCCATCTCATAATTACAAAATAGTTGCAACAATTGATGGGGGATATTGTTTTGTCATGGCAGGACCTTCAGCCAATAATAATTCTGTCTTTAATGACGTTAAGTGGATGGCTAGTGTAGTATTTATTCGTCCAAATTTTTATACGACGCAGCCCTCAATAATATATCAATATTTTTCACAAGCAGTTTCAATGACTATTGAGGCATGTGATAATACATATTATGATCCTGGATTAGCTTGTATTTTTAGAATTAAACCGGATAACACTTCAACTATTTCTGCAAGTTACGTTAAAGTAGCATTCTTTTCGAGCGGGGGCTTAAAATCATCTGCGATATTGAATATTACTGATACTACTTTTATATTGAATAATGTTTATCAATTGTGGAGTGGTGGATACCTTTTAGTTGTTCGTTTGAATACCAATAATACTTACATTGGTTATATTTATGATACCAATGGAAATTTTTCACAAACTTGGAATTTACCCACAGTGCCTGGGAACATTACGATGCTGAATGGAGTGTTTCAAAATAATACTATCTGGACGATTTTTTATGCAAATAATACAACATTAAATACAAGCAATTGGGCGTTAGCGACAACTATTTCCCCAAAATATATTAAACTTGGTATCTAACTTTTCTATTTTTTTTTTTTTTTAAAAAAAAAAACATTTAAGTGAAATTTCATTAATTAATCTCGTTAACTTTTGCAGATCACGTCATTGACAATTTAAATATCAATATAACATTCCCAAATTTAACTGACAGTTCTGACAGTTTATTAACAGGCATACCAATAAATATAACATTTTATAATTCAATTATATTATCATCAGGAAATATTACAATATATCAAGATACTGGCAAAGATTTGATACGAAGATTATATTACAATGCAAAGAATAACAGTGACAAATTTGTTATTTCAAGAGATTCGAAGACGATATCTATATCAGTTCTTAATAGTACATTTGTTTCTCCAGCAAGTCGATACTATGTTGTTATGGATAATAATTTTGTCAAAGATTTGATATCTGATGAACCTCTGATGAGTGCTAACTGGACTTTTACAACAAGTAAGAAAATTGTATTTCTATCATATTTCTGAGTATAAGATTATTGATAAAGTATATTGGAATTTGTAGGTCCACAACCAATTGTAAATCGTGGAGGTAAATTTATTATTTATTTATGAAGTTAATTTAATCATCACTAATTATCAAACATATAAACCTAATTAAATTAATTCAGATTCTGCATTCGCATTAATCCGTCTAAACGTAAATGAATCATTCCATGTCATGGGTCTTTCGAGCAGCGATAGATGGAATTATTTCCAAAACTTAAGTCTTGAACTTTCGCAGGCAGTTCCAATAAATTCCTCAAATTTATTGCCAGTTAATCAATTTCAATGGGATAAGGATGTTGGTAATCAACAGATCTTATTAAAATTCCAAATACTGCCTGGAAATAACACATCGAACAATATTACAGTAACTAAAATTATTGAAACATTGAACGATCTGATAACAAATAGAGATGTTACAATGATATCTTCATTACCATCAAGTAGTAAATTAGATAGTAAATATGGGTTTAGACCTAAAAGTAAGTTTTTTTTTTTTTTTTTTTTATTGATATAAACATTTTATAACTTGATGTGCTTAAATACATAAACATCTAAAAATTTTTAGAAAGTGTTTGGGATACTTATGGATATTATTTAATTTTGATTGGAATGATGCCTGTCTTTTTAGCATTTCTTTCACTATTCTCATATCAAAGAGGTGATGATGTAAGTTTAATGTTTGAATGTTAATCTTTGATTTATGATGAAAATTATAAATTATTTACATATGATTGTTATAGGGAAAAAACTTTATACCATTCAAAATTATGCTTATAATTTTTGATTTTATTATCGATATGTTGTTCGTACTTATACATTCAGGGGATTTATTCCAATTATATTATCCTAGGTATTCCTTTAGATTTTCTATCACTCTTTTTTTTAAAAAAAAATATCTCGTAATCTGTTAATCAAACATTTTTCTGTTTTGCTTCTTATTTCAAAAAGTGTGATTTGCTTCATAGTATCATTGGGATTCAACATAATCGTATCATTTTTCCTATTAGTCCATGAACTTTCAGAAGAAACTATTCAGCCGCAACAAAATTTTCAGCCACAACAAAATTCTCAGCCACAACAAAATACTGCATTCTATAGCTGGTTTAGAAAATATCACAATGTAGCAGCTATAACTACGCTTTGTTCTGCGATAGATATTGAGATATTAACATTAATAGATTCAAATATAGCGAATAACTCATTGTTTAATGCACAATTATCTGATTCAAGTGAACATTGGATATCTCGCGCTAGCTGTGTTAATTTTTTTATTGAAGATGCGTTTCAATTAGCTATTCAGGTTAAAATAATAATAATTATTATTTGGTTATATTTTTTGTACGACATTTATTGACTTAATTGACATTTTTTTTTTTTAGATATCATATTTGATAATGTCTGTCAACTACAGCATAATACCATTCATGAACTTAGTGACCTCCGCTTCACTTTTCGGTTCTATAGTTCTCGGTAGAATATATAGATCATACTTAAATTACAGAGATAAATCTGGATATGATAGTACAGCACTGTCAGATCATGATCCTGAAAATGACTATGAAGATGGAACATCATCATCAAAGTATAGCAGCAGCAAGCAAAGCGATCATATTGAGATAATACCATCATCGCTTCCAATTGTTCCTGAGACAAGTGTAAGATCACCAAGAGTGTGGATACAAGGAAATCACGGTATCCCGAAGACTCATCTTGAAAGATCTAATTTACCGACAATGCCGCCGCTTGGCAGGAATAATAAAGTTAGTTCTACCAGTATGTTTAATGAAGAACCGCAAATTACCAATATAGAGAGTATAAATAATAGTTTACCGGGAAGAACGGTAACATATTTAGGATACTATGGAGATTCTGAGGATTCTGAAGAATTTGAAGATGTTACTAAAAAAAGATATAAAATTGGGAATGGTATACCTTACGAACAATTGAGTGATGGTAATGCACCTAATGGAGGATTTTAAAATAAAAATAATGGTTACGAACAATTAGTGTTGGGTAGTAGAACGAAAAGCCCATCAACATAAGAATATTCAGCATTCTTTATATTAAACGTGTGAGGGAAATTTTTAGCTTGTATAACTCTGCTTTTATTGTAATATATAAAAATCAGAGCATTTCCAAAATTCACATTCCACCAATAGCGAATATTTTTTTTAATCTTTTAATCCTAGGGTAATTCTTTTGATAAAAGAAAAAAAAACAAAGAATGGTGAAATTAATTGTACTATGTAAGACTTGTTGTAATATACAGTATAAGTTAACAGGATATTTATGTTATTGTATTATTTGATATTTGTATTTTAAAAGTAAGCTTTAGTATATTATCAAAAAATAAAAAATTAATTTTAGTATATTATTAAAAAAAAAAAAATTAATAAACGCACTATGTACTAAAATTTGATTTTCTTGCATCTTTTGATTCGTGCATCTTGATAAACATGCACAACAATTACCAAATAATATCATTTCACAACAAAAGCAAGCTCATAACGGAAAATCGCGTACATATAACAATTTACTACAAAAATTTAAAGTTCAATAATGAATAACCAAATTTACTCTTTTGTCCATTTGCATGCATACGGTTAATTGTTTGTTATTACCGTTAATTTGATTCGACCTTTTTACGTAAGAATTTTATTTCTCGGTCTTTATGCTATTATTATAATAAAAATGTTCTTGAAAACAATATTGTGAACAATGTTCATAGTGGGCAAATTGAGGAATCGAAGAAAAATAAATTTGATATATATATTGTGTAAAATAATCCTTAATTGTATTTGATCACTAGACAAACTTCATCAAAAAAATCCGTTATCTTTTTATATTCAGCCAAGAGAACAAATGACACATTCTAAATCACTTCAATTTATAAAAATCTGTCGTAAGCATCATAAACTTTCTAATCGACGAAATTTGTTGAATCAAGTTATGGAAAATTTTTATGATGTATTACGAAAAATAGACATGGACCAATATAATGAATCAGCAAAATTTTGGATGTTGGAATACGAACAATATAGAAAAAAAGTAATCCATGACGATTGGTCCGAGTGGGAATTATAATATATTTAATGTTAGTATTTTATAAGTTCTCATCTTTAATTTGATGTTAATAAGCATTTCTTTTTTATCTTAACTTATTTTACTAAATATCATAATTTCGTAAATATACGGCATATTAAAATGTAATTTCTAATTGTTTCATCTAAAATTTTAAATAATGCTAGCGACTTTTGAAATTTCAATTTAATTATCATTTGATACATAGAAATATTCACATAATGGTTATTAATTCTAAATTTTCTGAATGTATTTATTAGACTATTCGGCATTTTTCTAAACTCATTAACAACGTTCAATTAGCTCATTGATGTATACATACTTATTTTTAAGACATAAATATCTTGCGTTAACTTTTCAAAGACTATGTAAAACTTAGATAACTTAGATGTAGTAATGGTTTGTATATGATAAAAATGAAATATTCAGCTGGTAATACTTGTAGACACTTTTTAAAAACAATGAAATATATTTAAAGATGTCAAAGTGTTATAAGATCTTGAAGTTGCGAATTAAAAATAAATAATTCGTAATATAAAGAGTTCTTTTATTTCAATTTTTATTTATGTTAACAAATTAGATATTGATTGCTTAACACTTTCACGGGACACTTTAAGAAGAGTTAACCCAGTGATCGACGATCACATTATAAACATATAATTACGTCATTTGTTTACTA